GAGGGGGGGGATAGAATGAAGAAAAAATGGATAGGAGGGAAGGGTCATGTGGCTAAACATATTGACTCCTAAGGCATGTGCTCCGAATTTAAAGTAATACATTCATAGTTTTAAAGCTGGAACCTGTAGCTAACATCTAATTGGGCCTTCTTGTTGTGCAGAGGAGAAAACTGAGGCTTGCCTAGCAAAGTATCCAGCTGGTAAGTGCCAGGATTAAGGCCAGGAGCCAGGTTCTCTGATCCCCAATCTAATGTCCTCTCCACCACAATGTAGTTAGTGCCTCTGAAGATCAGGTAAAATGACTGCCTTATGCCTGGGCCTGTGCTAAAGAGCCTTAGTTTTCTCTTACTGTTTAGATGGTTTTTAGAATTATTTGATTAGGGATTATTTTTTCAGAATGACAATTTTCATCCAACCATAATTTCTCAGTTACCGAAGTAGAATCCATCCATGCTATAAATTTCTCGTCAAAGGGGAAATCCACTGAATCTGAATAACAGACTAGAAAGCTGTTTTTTGACCTGTATTTACCCATCCCTCCACTTTCATATCTAACTAAATGAATGATTTACAATATTTCCCTCCTGACCTCTTTTCTGTATCTCAGCTTCCTATTTCAACTGCTGCATCTCTACCTGTTTTTCGTCCCATGACCTCAGCTCAACAGGAAGCCAGCTTCTTCTCCACCACCCCTATTTCTGTCAGTGACACCATCGTGTGCCCATCACCCAGGTCTGAAATCCTGGCATCATCTCTGACTCTTCCCTTCCCCTCTTCTACACCTAGTCGGTCACCAACTTCTGTGGCCTCTTCCTGCAGCATGTCTCTCGATTCCACTGCTTTTCTAATTCCATTCTGCACACTCTTACTCAAGCCCTCGGAGTCCCACGCCCAGGGAGGGACAATACTTACCGCTCCCGCTGCTTCCCATTTTGCCCTGACAACTCATCCCACAACCCCCGTGGACTGCTCTTTCTCTAAATCACCATGAAAATAAAAAGACAAAGACCTATTCGACCCCTTTGATGCTCCCTTTCCACATTCCCCAGTGTCCATAGATGATAAACTCCAAAACACACCCCCCTGGAACATGTTGCCATACTTTTGCAACATCGTCTCACTTTTCCTCCACAGAAGCATCCTTCCCAATCCACAGTCACTTTCCCTCCCCGGTATCTGTTTCCTCCTTCTGCTGACACCTGGCAGGGGCGCGCATGTCCTCATCTGAACTCAGCTTTGTTCAAGTCACCAACCTGGGCACAGAGCATGCCCCCTCCTCAAAATTCCGCAGGCATCTACTACAGTTCCCGAGGCAGCCTGCAGCCCCAACTCCTGTGAATATCTCTGCAGGCCTGCCCCCTTCCTAACTAGATCGGGAAGATCTGCAGGGATGGAAGCAACCCCCAACTTTGCACTGTTTGTGGATAAGGACTGACTTGACGGGACAGATGGTGGTAACTTGTTAAAAAAGACGTGAAGGTACAAAG